AAAAATGTACATTTTTTTCCGATGATGATGATGATAATCAATGTGGTTAATGCTTGTTTCATTTTTCTGTTCCTGAGATATTGTCTTTGCTTTGACTATAGAATCGAAAGATTTTGTTTGCCTTCCCCTTTTTTTTGGAGAGTGGGGTGGGGGGTTAATATTTATTATTTTGATCGATTTTTTGGGGATATTTTTTTTTTGATTGATCAAAGTGATCCGTTTTTGGTGATAACTGGTTAATGTTGATGATGATGGTGATGGCTCCAAATCATATAACAACCCAGAAAAAAACAATATCGCGCGAGACTTTATGACGGTATATTTATAACACCAGAAAACCAGAAAAAAATTGAATCAAATCGAATCATTTATATTAACACTCGGGTGTATCGCACGTGTTTTTCTCCCTATTTTTTTTTAATCTTGTCGGGTATACATGCGATCCACGCATCAAAATACAACATCTACATTTTTCTGGTTCGATGGCATTCGATATATTTTTGGTTGTTGTTATCAAATATGCCCAAATGATATTAAGTTTTTCTTTTTTTTTTGCTTTGCTTTGCTTTTATTTCAACATTGATAGCGATGATGGAATATAGTTGAAAATTTTCTTCATTTTTTTTTGTTGATCACAATCGATCGATGCTATCGATTATTATTCGACATCAAAAAATCGATTCTATGGATTGATTGATTTTTTTTTCGATCAACGTAAGAAAAAAAATAGCATGATGAGCATAATAGTAACATAGATTTTTTTTCAAATAATTTAAATAAATCAATAACACTGTGTTTGCAGTGCAATCAAACTTTGATCAATCGATTGGATTGATTGATTGATTTATCAATCAATCAATCAGATTGTCAATAAACTCAATGAACATTCATAACAACAACAACAATGTACCGGACATTAATGTTCGAATCGATTGTACACAATCGATACAATCATAAATTCATGTACATGTACTCAATTTTTTTCTTCAACAAGATTTTTTCAAAACAATCTTTTTTAAAAAAATCTTAAAATAGATTTTTTTTTCTCAATCCACAATAACATAAAAAAGTAAAACACTGACTGGCTGAGACGAAACACTTTTTTCNATTTCAATGCGCATGCTCGAAAAATGGATGGCTTGCATTTTTTATTTATAAGGGTCTTTTGATTTTTACATAAACAAATGGCTGGCTTGCATTGGAATTGGCCTTATGACTAAGCTAGACTTCGTCTACTTAGTAGACGAAGCCAATGGCCAATGGCTTGCAATGCTAGTTAAAAAATAAAATAACGATACTTTGTATCCAATTTTTTCTTAATTTTAAA